GAAGTTGTCCAAAAGAGATTCATTAAGTGGGAGGCCTAATCACAGCCAATAAGACAAGTACCCAGGCCATCAACAGACTAATATACATCTTTTGGCAGTCACCACTCCCCACAGGCTTGCCTGTCTGTTGCTGCTTACTGTATGGCTTGCACCGCAGAAATGATGTGATAACGCTAAAACCAATTTGGCACTTCCCACATGAGAGGATGAGTGTGTTTCCCCACCCTGGAAATGCAGCCTCCAGCTGTCTTGCCCTCTGCCAGAGGTTTCTTAATACCCTGGAATTAGCTGACTAAGAGATGAAGCAAACTGAAGGAGCGTTTGCTATCTGCTCAGGAAGCCTAAGCTTTCCATCAAATAAACCCTGGTCTGGTTCTCAGCCCTTTGGGAACGGTTGCCCACAGCTAACATTTGCTCCCCCAAATAACCCCGAGGTGACCTTCCCACTGCAAAGCTGTAGCCAAGAAAAACCCTGTTTAACATAACAGTGCACATCTTAGAACATCAACTTGAACCATCCTGACCTCTGAGCTGCCGGGGTCTGTACAAATTAATTTTAACAATAGACAGTGTTGAAAGAGAGGAATGTTTCAAAGGAATTAAAAAAAAAAAAAAAAAAAAATCTCCCTCATCCATCTCTTCTCATTTAAAAAATAGTCAGGAGGCCTACTTTAGAGAAACTTAAAGTGCTCCTTGTTGCAACACAATGGGCTATATAGGGGGAGGGGGAACATGCTGATTTCTTGCATCGTAGCCTACCAAAATGAAATTTCCCACAAATGGGTGCCACTTTGGAAAGATTGGCCTCCAGTTTCCACTGGGGAATTGGCTTTATTTCCTCGGATGATGCAAAGATACAAGTGGGGTTTGCCTTTCTTTTTTTACAGCTGCTGCTAGTACTTCTATTAAGTGAATGAGCAAGTCTCTCCTTTCTACCCCCTTCACTCATTTGTACCTTGCCTCATGTTTTCCATGGCTTCCATGCAAACAACCAGGCTAGGTAAGAAAAAAGCCCCTCTCCACATGGTATCTAGAGCTTAAATTAGTTAATGATTGAAAGAGCCCATCAGGAAGGGGATGCATAGGAAAATGAGATCTTCAGACTCTGGGGCAAACAGGTTTGTTAGTCCTGCTGAAGAGGAAGCTGGGTTGGGCTAAGTCGTGGGTGTTTTGCCCAGGTACAGCCTCATTCATCTGGTCCTCCTTAGCAGGAGCTGGGAGTCCAGCTGTCTCATTTTGTGTAAATAGGGAGGATTATTATGGCAGGGATGGTGAGGTTAGAGACAATGAGCAAACATTAATGATAATTTTAACATTCGCGTAGAATTGCTTTAACAGCTTGAAAGCTGTATGATGAGCATAGATGAGAGAGATGGAAGTTTCCTCGTGAAGCATCCAGTGGACTTCAGTAATTACACCCATGAAACCACCCGTTTTTATTTAGCCAGTGTAATTCATTATGATCATAAATTCGGGTTTCTTACACAAATGGTTTTCTCTTCGCAATTGAGATGCGCTGCCTCCAGCAGTACAGGGCATGAGCCCAAGTACATGCATCCCCATGTGATACTGAGGGGGATTCCTCAGGCAGCAGCCAAGGGGTCAGGGGGGCTGCCCTCTTTTCCCAGACATTCCCAAAGCTGGGACTGTGAGGTGTGAGAAGCTGTAGGGCCTGAGGGGGAGAGGACTGGATGGTTAGTGCAGAGGGAGATAAGATAAACTGATGGTTCTCTGGGCTTAGTACAGCTTTCCATACACAGCCTTCAAGATCCTGGGAGGCTGTAGGGGTCCTCTTGCAATTAATACTGTAATGACCTTGAATTTGCTTCCAGCTCAGCTGTACTGCTGGAGGACAAGGCTTTTCTTGTGAGCAAAAAACATTAAAGCAGCACAGAGATTTGCCTGCATAGCTCCGGTCTTCAAGAGATTTGAGTATCCTTTTTGAGGCCCCACTTGCAACAAGGGATTGTAGATAAGCTTCTGCAGTAGTTAATGTGTAAAGTTTTTGGATTTATTCTCACTGGTGCCTCTCCTTTTGCTTGCAGTCTTGGCAAATACACTGCTGTATGCTGGGGTTTTTTGTCTTGTTCTACACAGATAATTTTTTGCTGCATGAAAAAGGTAATTATGTGCATGCTCATATGTGCACACCATCTGAGATGAATGCGGTTTTATGGTCTTGTAGGTGTTAAGGGGGAAAAAATCATCCGCTTTAATTTAAAAATAATTAATAATGCCACTGATTCCTTTTTCAGATTGTAACTTGAATAGAAACTTTCATAGTCTCATACCTTTCTATTTCTTATCAACTTCTGGTTATAAGATACAATAAAACTTGGACAAAAATTGAGGAAAGTGTGAGATTTTGTTATGGATTATGTTTAAATTGTGTCTGGATTTGTTACGTGACTCAGTGGAAAAGCATTAGTGACCCCTTCCTCTCTAGGTTTGACTTCCTGTGAGGTTGTCTGTTAAAAAGATTCTGCAAGATGCTTCCTTTTCGGATCCTGTAAGAAATGTATATTCAGCAGGAGAAACATCTGACTGAGCAAAGACTAACTTACACAGTGGTTTGGAAGCCACGTGTTGAAAAGTGCTGGGGAAACACAGCAGGGAAAATGATAAAAAGGGATAAAAGCAGTTCAGATGGGCAAAGAATGCTGATTTAAAAATGCAAACCATCTGAACTCTGATGAGTGGGCAGGTTGCAATAACTTTAGGGCAGACCAAGCTTGCACAACGCTCATATACTGTAAGTTGACTCCCACAGGACATTGCCTGCAGTGATTTGAAATTGGAAGTAGGGGGGGAACACTGAGGTGCTGCAGAGAGTAATCTTGCAACAGCAGAGTGCAAGTAGAAAATGGGTCAGTTGGAGTAATAGCTTTTTTCCATGTGGTTTGTGTGAGCCAGGCCAAACCTGTGTGAAGCACAGGGTTATCACGTTTGTGATTATTTATTTCTGTTTCTTTGATGTGTTAGAAATGAATGTGTTTGCAATGAGGTTTGGTCACCCAAGTGTGACATTATGAATCCTTTCTCTGGACCGTCTTGTGTGCCAAAGTTAGCTTGCTTTTTTTTTAATGTTCCAGGCTTGCCTACATCGTTCAAGTAGACTGTGTTTGGAAATGTAATGCTGTGGCCTCACATTCCCAGGAGGTCAGCAGAAATGCTAGCCTGAACTATCCCTGCTAATACCACCTACGGTTTGTTCTCGCCTCTGCATTGTGGTAGGCAATCTCCTCATTTGTGCTGCCACAACTGGATGTGTCACCGCACTGAAGTGGATAAGGGGCTTGCCCAATTTAAAAAACACAATAATGCCTTGAACATACATTTCCCCACCCTAACCCCCTGCTGTATCAGTTTACTGGTTCAGTTTGTAATATTCCAGCCGCATAAGCAAGGGTGTTGGCAGTGGTGGAGGCACAGTGCAGAAATGAGGGACAGAGAATGTCTTATGCCAGTGTTATTGCTAGTTTCCTTTCAATGTGAAAACATGGGCTTAGTTACGGCTTCAGCCTAAACTCTGCACTCAGCTTTGATGTAGTTTAGCAGCTTGCAGAAAGGTGATAGCATGCGGTGACTGTGGTTTTGGTCCCTCCTGATGGTCAGGTATTATCATGCAGTGTGTTATCAGAGGCATGTAAACTGTTTGGCTGCTGTGTGATGAGATGGTGGCTCCTGAGGCGCAGGCTGTTAATGAAGTCCAAGCCTGTCCCCGCTCCCGGTCCCTTTTTCTGATCACAGCTGGCTGGTATAAGAGGCTCTTAAGTCTCACTGTTAAGTGGTCATTGAAACAAATGTGGTTAGAAAGAAAACTCCAGAAGGGGCTTGGTTTTAATCCAGATCAGGTAAGTGATCTGTCACTAGGTAGTACACTGAGTTAGACTGCAGTGTTGCAACACAGGCTGATGATGACTATAGTGCAAGGAGGTGAATGATAAGGCTTATGACAGGGGAAGGCCAGACTTTGTTCAGCCAGTTTTGTCCACACCAGTTGGTTAAACAAGTGAGTTCATGTAAGGACATAGTATACACGATGGTTCAGCAATGTGCTAGTGTATTTTCCCTGGAACACAGCCGCCTCAGTCGGACTTTATTTCATTTTGGACCATGCCTCCCTCTACTAATGCACAAGATGTCCAAAACCCCTAGGTATTAATGGAGTACAGATTTCCAAGTCTCAGTCTGACATTACCTACCCACGTCCTTTATATTAATATCATCACCCTAAAGATATGTATTTAGTTGGTTGTGCCATGCATCCCCCTTTTTTGAAAACGCAAAGCTGTACACCTTGATGTGCAGACCTCCTTCATGCCACCTTGGTGTGCATGCAGCATCCATAGCAGAGGTACAACAGTCACTCTTATTTGGGTGTGATGCTGGGCAACTAATAATGTAGTCCGTTGACACTATGCCAGTTCATGCCAGCTGAGGAGAAGGTTCCCCTCTGACGTTCTGGTGTGATGCTCTTCCCTACACCCCTTGATGATATCCACAGAGGACCACCCTTTCAAGGCTTTGGGCAGACGAGGGCTATCCGTCTGAGAGTTTGTGCTCCTTACCTGGTCCTTTTGGCAACAGGCTTGCTCACAGTCCCACTGCATAAAGACTTCAGTGGCAGAAGAGAAGACAGCTAATATTGCCCCCACTGTGCATGCAGCCAGGCATGAGCTTTGCTTTTGCTCTCTTAATTCTACGCTTGATATAGCAGAAGCAGACAGGCACATGATCTCCCCAAAGGCAGGATCCAGTGTTACTGTAGAAACTGGCCACCAGCTTCTTTTGTAGCTAGCAGCTGTCACGGTGTGGTTATAGCCAAAGCGTGTCACTTGTACAGTGTCTGCAGGCTCTGGAGTTTGTGTCTGCTTCCGAATCCTCCATGCTACAGCTTGGATATTAATTCTGCACCTTCTATCAAAGCATGCTGAGCTATTTCTGAATTGTACCTATTTTTAGAACCATTTTTGATTAATATTTGATGTTTTTTCCAGGTTTCATTTTCTGTCACTAATACTTCAAGGCACAGAGGAGCTGGTAAAGGCATTGCCATGAAACCTAACTTGAAGCAATGGAAACAACTCATGCTGTTTGGGATCTTTGCATGGGGTCTGCTTTTTCTGGTGATATTCATCTATTTTACAGATAGCAACACTGCTGAACCAGTTCCAAGCTCCTTTGCCTACATTGAAACTAAGAGGCTTCTGCCTCTTCAGGGCAAGCAGAGAGTCATCATGGGAGCCATTCACGATCCATCATTTTCAGAAACCATTGATGGGAATGAGGTACTTCTTAATGAAGATCTCTTAGGTACATTTAAATCTGGGACTGGAAGTATTAAGAAATGGACTGATTTGGAAGATACCTTTAGAAGTGAAGATGAGTTTTTTCCATCCCAGATAGGAAGAAAATCAAAAAGTGCTTTCTACCAAGTGAACGATGATTATTTATTTGCTGCTGGTCAGCCTCGGTCACACAACCACCTTCAAGAGATAGCAAAATTCATCTCAGCAGATGAGGATAATCCAAAAGTAAATATTTTACAGAACAACTGGAGCCATCAGAGAAGAATGAGGAGAAGGAGCACAAAGCACAGGAGAAGCCAGATGCTTGAGGAATCTGATGACTGGGATGGGCTATATTCCACAATGTCGAAATCCTTTCTTTACAAGCTTTGGAAAGGGGATGTCTCTTCCAAGATGCTAAACCCTCGACTGCAGAAGGCGATGAAAGATTATTTGAGCACCAATAAGCATGGGGTGCGGTTCAAGGGGAAACGAAACTCCAAGTTGACAGGAGACCAGCTATTCTGTGAGCTAAAAGAAAGGGTGAATGTGAAAACAATAGATGGCAAGGAGGCTCCCTTCTCCACTCTTGGATGGGAAAAGCACGTTCCCCAAATTCCACTGGGCAAATTGTATACACATGGCTTTGGGAGCTGTGCTGTAGTTATGTCTGCTGGTGCCATACTGAACTCCTCTCTGGGGGATGAAATAGGTGGGTGACATGCATATATATGTGCATATATACGTACATGTATGTTGTTCATGTTTGTCTTTCAAAAGGTTCATTCTTCTCAAGCGTAGGTCTGTAAAGTCTGGTTGTTCTCTCTCAGCATTACATGAATGTGACCTCATGAAATTCAGTGAAGCTGTTTCCTTTCAGGACAATACAATTGAAAGGAAAATCAAGCCTGGAATCATAATTTGATTTGAAGAAAGCAGTTATGTTTCCATATCATATTAAAGCTTGTTGTATAAAGGAGGCACTGGTTTCATCAGATCTGCCATATTTGACATTTTGCTGCAACATGCGTTTATTTGTTCAGCAGATTAGAGCCATGTTCAGGTTTTATTCTGCAAAGCTGTTTCATACCTGTATATTTTCTTGTGGCTTACAGAAAAACTGCTTCTTGTATTGCTATCCCAGACTGAACTTTGTCTCCATGTCGAGAAGCAGTAGAGCCTCCTCTTCATCTCCTCCATGAGATAAAGAACTCATGCAAGACAAAGGACTCTTAAGAGTTCAGAGGCATACAGAATTCAGACTCCTGAGTAACTTCCTGAGCGGAGGTCCCTTGACCTCTTTTCTAAGAGTGAATTTAAATATGTTCAGTATCTCCGCCCATTGTTTTTCTATTGCTGCAGTGAGTCAGTGAGGTTACAGGTGTGCTGAGATGTCAACGTCTGACAGAATTCCCCACTTCAAGGTGGGATTTTTGTGGTAGGTGTTCAGAAAAGGAATGTAGAGGCATAAAATTAATTCCAGTTTGGGTTTTCTTTCTTTTTGAAAATGAGTGCTACTACTCTTGTTATCGTCTCCGTAGTTATTCATTTTGGCAGTACACGTGCAGTATGTTAAGAGTGCTGAAAGAAGGATGAAATGTATGTCTCAAACTTGCTTATGGAGCAAGAGTTATCTCCTTCAAGCTCTCTTTAAAAGCCTTTTGATGTTCACTTATTAATCCTCCCATCTTCCTGGACTTCACAGCCCAGTACTTGCTTCATTGCACTGTTACCACCTCTTTGACATGGATGGGTTTTCTTTAAATCCCTGGGATATATTAGAACTGCTGTCTTTATCAAACTACAAGTATAGGCTTCCAGCACAGCATGGGTGCCTGGCTGACCTGTAGCTAAAATCACACCAGTGCAACCCCCAAATTCACATGAAGCCCCATTGATTTAGAAATCTTTGGGATGAAAAAAAACTTAATAGTTTAAACCTCCCTTCTCCAGTGTGTTATACTTGACTGAAACAAAATCTCTCAGCCTTCCTCAGTACATCTAGTTTACACCAGTATGGATTAGTGTTGTACTGGGGAATCCATATCACATTATATATCATAGTATGCATCATGACATATTTACACACTCAGGTGCAGCCTAGGTGTGGACTTCGGTGCTTGACGTGGCACCTGGGGCCTATATGCTCCTGTGTGTACCCATTTTCTTGTGAACTGTCTGGGCACAGAAAACTTACACCCTTCTCTGAGGAGGATCTTTTGATTTAATTGGGAAATTGTCATCTGATGCACCTAAGGGGAGGAGATGCTGATTGATAAGGCTTACACAGGCATTTCAGATCTCTTCCTACCTGTTGCAGATTGAAGCGTGTAGGGCAGCACGAGTCACAGGAAGTTTTCTATAAGTGTCTTCCAGGCCATGGGCAGGTACTTCCTATTGAGCAGAGGATTTGTGTCAGAACTGTGGCAGGACAACTGGCTGCTTACAGCCATCCCAGGGGGGCCTGGTGCCAACCTATGGGTCTTAGTGATCAGTGTGGCTCCTGGGAAGTGCTAATATACAGGAGATACCATGCCTGTGTTTTCCACTAAAAATGCAAAATGGAAGCTCCAGCATCTGTTCATATCATGATTCCCATGGGGAAGAAGTTATGGCTCCTGCAGTGTGTGTGTTACCGCTGAGCTCTTGGCTGTGCCTTTCTACTTCCCCTCTAGTCCTTGAAAAAGTGAGAAGAGTGACCAGGAAGAGAAAGCCCAGACTGCACAAGATGCTCTTTTTCCCTGTGAATGCACAGCAGTGGAAGACTGTCCTCTCCCAGAGCTGACACCAGGGCTACCAACTTCTTGGTTGGAAGTCCAGGCAGACCTGACAGGAGGCACCATGGGCTGCGCTATGGAGTGGTGCTACTCTGTGAAATCAGCCCAGGCACTAGTGCTGAGCACCTCTGTGTCCTCAGTCAGCATCATCAGGGAGTGAGGAAGAGCAGCCCATGGACAAGTTCTGATTCTGGGGCCATGGGCTGTACAGTCTTGGTTGATGAAGTTTATGCGGGCAAAAGGCTTTCACTATTTATGCTCCCAAAAGAGAAGAAGGGGCAAGAAAGCAGCAGTGCAGAACCTTTCTCTTCATAGGCCTTTAGCTCCCTCTTCTGTGTTCATATGAGAAACGCAGGCATAAATGTCATTTTTGTTCTGCTTCTTGCCCTTGTCCCTCCCACCCTGATTGGTTTTTTTGGATAAAGATAGAGATACTATGCAAGTACAGCAAACATTCCCACTGTGATCATGCTGTTTACTGGGAGACCCAGTTATTTTGACATCATTGGGAGGTAACAGGGATCTATGATCAAACCGCAAACTTTTTGTATCTTTAAAATGGTTCTCTCCAATAGGTTTAAAATCAGTTGACTTAAACCCACCTATTATCAGTGTTAAGCTGTGTCCTGATCATATATTTTATGGTGAAGAACTAGCATGGGGAATGTTGGAGATGCAGCACACTGTCTCTCAGCTAAGTTGTGAACCATACCATTCCCATTTCCCAACCCAATTCCCGGTTCTCAGTCAATGGATTATAAAAAAGTTATCAAATGCAAGTCCAGATGTCTGTTCTTAAATTCAGAAGTGTTTTCAATTGCAAAGGATCTTTGTTTCTCTTCTTCTTCTCAAAAAATGTGGAGTGCCTGCAGCTTTTATTGACTTCATGTAATCTAGCCCCTATACATTCAAGATACTTATATTTAGTCAGATGAAGGCAAGCTATTGAGGCTAGGATTGTCCCTGCATAGAGACATAGAAAAAAACTTCACTTCTTAGTTTCTGAGGAGTTGGGGTCAGTAGACATTTGGCAAAAATCTCACTTTTTGGCACAAAATGTTCAAGCAAGCAAGTACAGCTGAAACTGGACTGACAGTTTCATGTTACATGGCGTTTTCTTGTCTGGAGTACAAGTGTGGCGTAAGGATGTGAAAGGATGGAAGATCCCAGTTTGATAAAACAGAATAGGCCCAAACTCCACTGAGGCGTGTTGGTTATCTTTGGAAACTTCTGCCTGCTCCATTTTTGAGCTACAGACAACACATTTTAAGTGACTACAGAGAAACAGGTGTATAAAATACCTGTGGGTTAAGGCATTACATGGCTTCAATTGTATTTTCTACCTTCATTGATAGAAGGGATAAAAGTAGGCTAAATAGGGGTCTCTTGACAGGGAAGTGTGGTTTGGGGCAATGGATATAATTTCTTACTCTCCCTGTCCCTCACACCTTTGGGGTTTTGAGATTTCCTTAAAGGAAGCACTGGGAGGCCGATTATTTTTATCCAGTTGAGGCTTGCATGTAGCGTCTACCCCTGACCTCTACTTAACCTAGAGCTGCTTTCTGTTCTTCATGACTCCCAAGGTCAACAGCTCATGAGGAAATTTTGACAGGTGAGCTTTGTTAGGTCTTTGCTACCAAGGGATCCTTAGGTTCTGCATGTGAGCAGGTTTGTGGGCTCACTTCCCTACAGAGACTAACTTATACTGACCTTGAGAATAAGTACATGGTATGATTAATAGGTTTGGGGTAGTCTGAGATTTTCAAGTATTACAAAATACTGTGGAACACAAGCTTATAGTTAAGTGTTGGTATTCATTCAAATGTGTAATTAGATATCCTGGCAATTAACACGCTTTTGCATGGGATAATTTGTTACAAATTTTGCAGTAGAAATAGTGAGAAATTGTGTGTACTGGGTGTACTAATAACCTTCCCACACCAAGTTTATCCAATTAAGAGAAATACTGGAGAATTGCAAGCTAAATTAATAGATGATTCTTAACTTTTTTTCTGGATCTTAAGAATGTTATTAATGTGTGGCAGATGCAGGATTTTCCTTTGCACATAGTAGAATGTTTATCAGCCTTAGAACATCAAGATTAGGAGAAATGTGTAAGTTTTATGTTAGTTTAGATAATTAGGTTTATTTTTATATACTTACATTTTTTATACTGCTCTGTATTGCCAAGGAAGAAAATTACCCCCTTATTTATGCTTCTAGATTCTCATGATGCTGTTCTAAGATTTAATTCTGCTCCAACACGTGGCTATGAAAAAGATGTTGGAAATAAAACAACCATGCGGATCATTAACTCTCAGGTAAGATCTTACTTTTGTGAATTCAAGTCAGTGTTCCTTCTGTACAATATGACATTAAATTAATAACTTCTGAGAAAGTGTCGGGTTATTTGGGAAACAGCTAGTGGTTTTACAGTCGTGATGTAGAGCAGGTATAAGTTCTTCCTTACAGGGATGTTCGCACTGGTGTCAGTGTAGACAGTAGTTACTTGATATCCTTGTTTCAAAGAACTGGTTTGTAAAGCTTCTCATGTGTCCTAGATCTGTAAAGGGCCTGCAGGATGCCAGAGCCATCAATACAGAAGACCTTCACCACACTGCCTCCAGGGCCTTCACAAAGCCTGGGCTCTGGGGATCCCAAAGCTCTTTTCTCATATTCTCCAGTTCCCCAATTATTTCCTCACTGGAAGGCATAAGAAATGGGAACTGAGCTGTCCTAGTACATAATTTTAGACAAGTCATCATTCTTTAAATGTTTCAAGTGTACTAGTAAAAAAATTTAAAGTACACTGGATATTATACATAAAGGGAGTTTGTTATCTGAATGGAAACAGAAAATGGGATTTTCTGCTTATGGGTGTCCACAAATAATTGTGCATTGAGCTACAGTGACACCTTATGGTTGAGAGTAGTTTTTCAGTTTTGAAAAAAACCCTAATGCCTGAACTCTGGTCTTGGGCAAACCAAGCTTCTTTCCTTTTTGTCAAAGCAATAAAGCCAAAAAGGAACAATAGAATTATTGTGAAATCTTATGACGTATTGAATTGCTGAGTTTACTTAGTACCAGCAGAATGGTTGGTCATGTAGCATGGTCTTTTATGAGAGCAAAATTTTAATTGACTGTAATTCTTATGAAATTGGTTTTTATTTCTTCTTTGAGTGACTGCCCATGCAAATTACATCCTTGGTGGGTGCGTTCTCTGTGTGTGTACACTTGCCACTGCAGAACGTTCACTGTCATTCCCTTCACACTTGTTTCATAGCTCTTTGTGAGGCTGCAAGACAGACTAGGTCTTTGAAGTGATCTGGGTTAAATATGCCCCTTTCTTTACTCAGGGGAAGAGAACAGAAATATCTTACTCTGGCCTTAGTGTTAAAAACAGCGTGCCAAAGAACATGCCAGGGCATGGCTAAAGTTCAGGCCAGTTCAGCTCACACAGCTTCCTCACATATGTTCTTATTCCCACCAGTGTTCCGCTCCTTCAAATTGGTCAGAAGCCACCCATGATAAGAAACTGGCCTTCCTGTCCCTGGGAGTGAAATATGCACGTGCCATTTGATAAAAGTTGCTTTCCCTATCAGTACTGAGGATGGGTTACCCGTACAGGTTTACTCAGCCTCCTTTCCTCCTCACTGTTGGAAATTCCTGCATTCAGTTGTTTAAGGACTAGAAGGAAGCCAGTGCAGCCATAACATATTGTTATTCCAGACAAAACTCATCTCATACATATGAATGCAGACTCACTAAGAGTGAATAACTGTGTGGATAACACCTCCAAAGGACTCTTGCTTACTAAAAGGCAAGTAAGAGCTCCTTTGTGGAACTGAGCTTTTAGAAGCTTGACCTTTTAGTCTGTTTACTCTGTACTCTCAAAAAAGGAGTTTACATTCTCAGGCAAAAACTGCTTTGAGAAATGGAGCTGGGGAGATGCTGATGGCACCACGACTATTCTGTTCTTGTAGAAGGCTGATAAAAAGTCATTAAGCTCAAAGTTTATGGTAGGAAGAATATTGCTATGGCAACAATATTATTTTTGTGAAGAAAAATATGCATAATCAAATATGGCTCATTGGATCCTAAAGGGAAATGAAAATTAGTATGAATTTATTTGTCTGGAATGTTGATTAGTTTAACAGCTGGAGCCAAATTCATGCTGTTTGAACCAATGCTGAAATCATTCAGCTCAGTCCTGCCTGAGATTGGATGCACCAGGGATCAGAAAGATCTGGCTAGGTATGGAGGGTCTGGAAAGGGATGAGCCAGCAGGAGGGAAGAGTAAACTTCCAGTGGGGCAGCAGGATCAGGCAGAGTACTGGGAGATGCAAAGAGATACATGAAAGCAGTAGATCAGAGCAGTATGACAGTTTCTTCAAAAATAGCCCTGTCACATATCTGTTCTGGAATGATTTTTCTAGGTATACTGGGTTTTACAGTCATGGTGTAGTTTGCAGTTTTGGAGCTACTTGAAATGAGACTGACTTGCTGTTGAAATGAGAAAGCAACCAAAAAGGTGTGGAGGCAAGGAAAGACATTAGCCACGGGGGCTGTAGCCCTTCAAAGAATGAAGAGGAACTTGGAAGTGGTCTGAAATACTGTAGCTTTTGTTTTCAAATTCCAGAATACAGAGTAGTGTTGATCTACACTTATGCGTATCTCAAGTGGTCCCATCACATCCCTCACAGATGGAGAGTAATTCAGCATACTGCTACTTCAAACTGTCATGAGTGCTGTTTATGGCTAAGTTCTTTTTTATGGTTTGTTTTTTTTTTAACAAAACAAAATGCTTAAAATTGATCAGAATTAAAGCAGAACAAACAGCAGCATGGGAAGGACTGTTCATTTCAGAGAAAGTTTCTGCCATTTTTCTGGATCCCACTTGCTTTTAATGCTGTCCAATTCTTTACGTTTGTGTTCACAGATTCTCACCAATCCAAACCATCACTTTGTTGACAGCTCCTTGTACAAAGATGTTATCTTAGTAGCCTGGGATCCTGCCCCCTACTCTGCAAATCTGAATGTGGTAAGATGTCTGCTTGGACCTTTTTTTGCAATCGGTCTGAAAGGACTGGAGAAAATTAATGTAGTTAGTACGGGAGTCTACTGGTTCTCACTTGTCACAATGAACACTCAAGTATGTCTTAATCCAAGGAGTGGGGAATGTTATTACCGCAAGAACTGGTCAAAATTGGTTTACTGGTCAAAACCTTTGTAGTAGGCAGCATTTGTACAGGAATGGACTGCTCTTAGATGCTAGGATAAATGATGATGTTGGGGTTTTTTAGATAAAATATCGCTATTTTCACGTAACAGTGACTTTTCTGGGTTTGCCAAGGAGGGAACATTGCTAGATTTCTGATGGAGTTTTCATCAGAAAAGGTGAAGAATTGCATCCATTTTCCCCCACCTTCCCCTCTCCCTCCCAGACAAAATAAAACACCCTAATGAAAATCTGTCTTGGCACCTTCCCCATTTCTCAGTCCTCCTCCTTATCAGTCTTCCCTTCATGTCCACTCCCCCACAGCCATCTGTGTCTCATCATCTGCCCCCTCACTGAGAGCTGCAGACATCCATCTGGTTGTCACTGGGGGAGTCTGTGCTTTGGCTGGTGCTGCAGCTCCAGTGGACCAGTTGATCTGATGGTTCTTGGCAGGGGAACCTTGGAGCTGAGCAGGCTGCAAAGTAGAAAGTGAATCTTCATCTGCTGAACTCCCTTAGCAACAGATGCCAGAGGCTGCCTGCCTCCTACACAGGCTGCCGTCAGCCTGCCTCACGTGCTGCTGCTGCCTCCATCAGGGACTGGGACACATTCAGAGGATGGGTCACCCCCACACTGGGTATCTTGAGTCAAGGCTTTCTGAACACCTTGCTTAACATGGGCCTGTGAAGGAGAGATGAGGTTGGCTCATCCCACTGCAGTGCAGTTGTGTATAGGGAGTCTCTGAAGAAAGGAAAGGGAATAGCCCAGAGTGAGGACTGGCTTGCTAGGAGAAGCATCCACCAGTGCAGACTGCTTTGCTACCTTTCCTTCTGTTCTAAAGAACCCAAATGTTATTGTACATGTAGTGTTCAAAACACATTTGATACTATAGGATTTTAAATAAATACTACTTTTTTTCTGCCAGTGGTATAGAAAGCCAGACTACAATCTGTTCACTCCCTACGTACAGCATCGCAGGAAGAATCCAAATCAGCCGTTTTACATTCTCCATCCAAAGTTTATATGGCAGCTCTGGGACATCATTCAGGAGAACACTAAAGAGAAGATACAGCCCAACCCTCCTTCTTCAGGTTTTATTGGTAGGTATATTAGAGGTGGGCCAGTAGGCATGTTAGATTAAAAGAAAAATTGAAAAATTGTGAATGTGTGCTTTGCATGAGGGTCAGATCCATACACATGTACTATTTGTTCTTGGTACTCCATGCAGAAATAGTGACTAGCTAAATCACACAGTATGAGAACAATAAAATAATTGGGTGAATTTAATGCTCTGCTTTCTTGGCCTTCACATCCATAGTATGCATACCATACTTACAAAGCATACATATATCTGTGAGAAATTTGTATTATTCCATATTAATTTATCTGTTGAGAATCTACTCAATTCGGAAGTTCTTCTTTGGGATCATAGAGCAGAGATGCATCAGAAAACAAGTGGAAACATGGCAGATGATACAGAGAGGATGAAATCACTGACAGGCCAATCAGTATTCCCTACACAGATCAAGGAATGAGTTTGGTGGAAAATTGGAACAGATTGCCCAAGGAAGTCGTGAATGCTTCATCCCTGGCAGTGTTGGTTGGATGGGACCTTGCACAACCTGGTCTAGTGGAAGGTGTCCCTGCCCATGCCAGGCAGGCTGGAACTAGATGGTCTTTAAGGTCCCTTCCAACCCAGACAATTCTGTGATTCTGATTTCCCATGCTCTGCTTCAGATTCGAGTGGTCAGTCTGAAAGTGCCCAAAACGGCACTCTTCTTCTTACACTTGAAGGAGTAGTTTCACTGTATTTTGTTGGTCCTTCTTAGTATTTCTTGGGGGATAATTTGGCACTGTACCCACAGTGCATGCAGCATAATGACTTAACTGATGCATAGCAGGTCCTGATCATGAATGTCTGAAGGATGCAAGCAGTCAGAAAATCAAGGCTGAGACAGGATCTTCCTTGCTCAAGCTTCTAGAGACACAGGGGGCAATAAAGCTCCAAATACTGTCTTCCATTTTGAAAACATCTTTTCTTCCTTGACATTGTTATACTTGACGTTGTCTAGGTATTTGCTGCAGTCAGAAAATGCTCTTTTATTCTATCTGGAAGCAAAGATAGCTGAGATTGCATCCAACATGGGAAAACAGTTCTTAGGTTGGCTCTGAATGCAGTAGTGGCATTCCAGGATATTGTGGAGCCCCACCAAAGGCGTTAGGGAGGGTGCTGAAGCTCTCAAAGGGATGACCATCAGATCGTGGGAGGTGCCCATCAATGATATGAGTGAGTTGTGATTACCTGGAGCACGAGGGGAAAGAGGAGGCTTTGTGTGTTGGAGGAGGATAGCTTGGCAGTTGATTATTTCCTGAAGTGAGATTTTTTGGAGCCTGCTTGTAAAAATTCATAAGAAGACTGCTCGTGTGGAATGATCTCAGCAGCTGCATTCACATTTAGCAAAAGCATTTCTTAGAGTAATGGAGTTGTTGATAAAAATAGGTTAACAGCTGCTGATTGTAAGAACAGTGAAGAGGATCATTGTGCTGTCAATCTGTACTTCTGCCATATATAAGAAACACTTCAAAAGCTTTCTTTGAAGAAATGGAGCTAATTTCACTATAAGAATAGAAAAGTAATCTTCAACCCCAAATCTAAATGTTCCTGGCAAAAAATATTCTTCAAGCAGGGAAAGCTTTGAAAATACCACATTAAGCAAGCAACAACATTAACAACAAAAGCTGTATAGATAAATATACTCTGTGTGTACAAATGCAATTTTACCTCCTTTTCCTCTGCTGGGGATTTTATTTATATTGTTCTTTTCCAAAGGATATGCTTAGACATTGTGGTAATGCCATTGTTAGCTTTAAGAAAGCTAGGCAGTAAGGCAGGCCTGTTGGGAGTCATATCCACCTCATTTGATAGCTAGCTACTGTTCTGATGCATTTGAAATACTTTTTTTAGGGAGAGGCTTCCTATTGTGATAACATTATTGAATGGATGCCTTTGCAGTGCATGTGTAACATAATAAAAACTAGGAGACAGCACAGAAATAGCAACTGCATATTGTCAAAGGTCTTCAGATCAGATATCACTCAACAGCTAACGCATTAAATCATCTAGTTGGGAATGAAGATGGCAGACACAACTGAGTGCACCTGTAAGAAAGGTGTATCCTGAATATTGAGCTTCTACTTGATTCTTCTAAAATCTATAAAATTATTTCCTATAAAGTTAATAGAAAGAATGGGTAAGTTATGGCCATCATAAAATACGATTGTCTTAATTTCAAGAAGATAAAGGGAAAATGGTTTATTAAATGGCCACACTGCTAATACTGTTGTGCTCAAAACAACTGTGTGAAGGAAGGTAGACTGTTAAATAGAGGATATGAATTTTCACAGGCAGAAGGACCTATAGCTCCGAATCTAAGCTCTTTATAGCGTGGACCATCATGACTCTAATCACTTTATTCTAATAACTTATTGTAAGTCTGTGTGCAATGCTCTGTGATTAGAATGGGTGGAGACTGCGCAAGGATCTGGTTTGTCCACATTTACACTGGCAGAAAGTTAGGTAGCCCTCTGTGAGCTGTGGTTACTTGTGGGGGAAGAGCAGCAGTTCCTCAGGTCACTGTTGCTACCAGTAATGTGCAAAAAATGAAGACCAACCAACCAACCAAACAAAAAATGGTTCTGGGTGAAGTGAAGCACTTTTATTTAAAGCTTTTTATTCCTCTGTAGTCCCAGTTTACAAAGTTGGAGAAATGTATAAATTAAAACATGGAAATGTCAGACTTTTTCCTTTCAGGAATGTCAGGAATATTTTGGGGTGGTCTTAGACTGTTTCTTCAGTAATTGCTTTTCTCACTTGGCAGTTTTATTTATTTCTGCTGCTTAACATTATTTGTAAGAAGCTGAGTCTTCCCAAAGGGAGGATGCTTGGTAGAATGTGTTCTCATGGTGCTTTGCATGTCAGCATCCTTCAGCAGTGATTGATGTCAGGGGAATCATTTAACACTGTTAATAGCTGTATTAAAGTACTTAAGTCACAATGTTATTAAGTGTCTTGGAAAAGGGGCCAGTGGGTCATTTATGAGGAAGAGGTAGTCTCATATGCTGTGACTTTAGGGGAATGAGTGAGAAGAGGTAGCACCTTTTCACCGGTTTCTCTATTGCATGGGAGCTAGGAAGATTTTCTGCACGCACTTTGGGATATGGGATGCCCTGACTTGGTGTAAGTTCCTCTTGGAGCTCCTGGCTCCCAAAACCCTATGCTGAGGCGAGACAATAGCATTGTGGTGGCTGGTAGTTGGGGTGAGGGGAGTGCAGTACATGTCTCAAGTGTAAAGGAGGAGAGAGGAAAGGATGGGAAGAGAAGTGTGGCACAGAGCAGCATTGGTGGTGCTCTGCAGATTGTGTACAAAGTAAGGCATAAGTCTGTCACTGCTTCCAGCCTCTTCTGAAATGATAACACACACACTATGGAGATTTAAAGCCAGGTGAAATGAATATTACCCAATAAATATCAGCTTCCTCCAAGATTAGACTTTCTCCATTCTTCTGCATCAGGTTCTAACCTGTAGATGATCCTTTCTTTGTTTTTCTTCTGGCAGCTCATGGAAACCCATCCATGGCCAGTATCAGGCTGCACCTTAACACTGCATGCAGACCCACATCTTGCTGCAGTCTTTTCTGCTAAATTTGTTTAAACTTTAACATTGTTTTCTACATGACTTAGTGAGGGGTATGAGTTCAGGACATCATTGAAAGTAGGCTGAACTCACTGTCTTGTTAGATTGCGGCCTGTTTGCTAGGTGTTACTTCTGGGGTATACCATGTCTAGGAAGGGTTAGCTTGTCACAGGCAAGTCATCCTTTAGTGTGCTGTTTTCTAGCTCAAAGGTTGTTAATGACCTAGCAAACTCAGAGATTGGGTTTTGCTTTGCTGGTTTTGGGTTGTTGTTTTTTTGGGGGGGGGAGGGGAAAGGTTCTCTAGGGTAAAATATTTTAATCTGAGAGTCCTTTTTTGGCTTGTTTTCTGAGTCACCAGTGTGGGCTTTCCCTGGCTTGTAACTTTGCCTTATGTGACACGTCATATCTTAGCTAATGTCACTCCTCATTATAAACTGTTTACTCTTTGTCTTCCTAATCTAATCCTTAGATGAGTTTTGCGAACCCATTCTTGTGTATCTTTGCATCATTTCTGCAGCTGCCACCTTCAAGCTTTTGAACAAAACTCCGCACAGTATTACTCCCTTGCATTAGCATTAAACAATTGCCATAGTGACTTTTTGCAGTTTAATTTGTTGGTTCACATTTGGCTGAAAATTGTGTTTGCTATTTATATGTTTATATCACGTCTTTGGTCTGTTCCATTTTTTTCCAGAAGAAATGTAAACATCCAGACACCAAATCTTGAACCTGGATTCCACTGGCAAATCCTAAATTAACAGTTGAGAAAACATCACTGTTCTTAAAGAAGGATTTGCTCTATCTTTTGGCATCAGAAATAAGTGTTACCTCTTCACTTCCTACTAATACATTTTTCACTGTGAAATATGAACTCAGTCTTCCTTCTCTCTTTCAGAACATACCAATGCTGAGTTTTTAATTGAGGCTGGGTGTGTATATCCCTGCAGTCTCTATTTTCACCACTCTTCTGCAAGAGAACTGTTCCTATACCCTCCTTGGTAGCCTGTGTAAACAACCTAGTGCTGATCTTACGTTTTTGTCATCTGAAGACCAAGTCTAAAACTGTTTCCTTGAGTTTCTCAAAAGCAGCATTCTGTGTGCATTAGATGGGATGGTACATTAGCATTCAGAAAGTTTGCGGGCCTTGTAATAATGTCAAGACTATATGTAGGCTTTTCTATGAAGATTTTGCTCCTGTCTGTTGTTTACTAACTGGATTTGCTATTAATTCTTACTTGTCAGAGTCCACCAGTACACCTTGCTAGCTTATGTCTTCAGACGTGTGTTTACTTGAATTTTACATCCATATACCTTTATACCAAACAGCTTTTGTCTTTTTAGAAAGCTAGTTGAAAGCTCTGACTGTGGTGTTATATTGTCTTTTTTTTTAATCCCAAACCAAGACA